AAAAATTTTGAAGCAATTGAATTGCTTGTGTATCAATTTACAAACTTGGGGCATACTCGGAACGGTCCTACCTGTTTATTGGGACACATTATATAACCCGAATTTTTTATAAAATATCTATATATAATTCATTATATCAAGGGAAAACATTTATAAATCGAATATTTTATAAAATTATATATAAATTCGTTATATCAAGAGACCCTGATATATTGAAATATAGATATAACGAAGCAAAGCCTTCAGCTACAGAGCTTCGTTATATCGAGGTTATACTGTATTTATTTACATAAATACAAATGGATTTATTTTGCTAACAGGAAATCATATGAAACTTATTTCGTTTGTTTTTTTGGTTGATAATTTTGTTTTTTAGATCGATCGGGAGTTGGTAGGTTAGGCATTATGGTATGAATCTTCCGCTTGGCAAGCAATTTCTGCTTTGGATTAATAAGTAATCTTTGTCTCTTTGTATTTTCTTTTACAGAGGACTAAATGTGAATTATTATTAGTAAAGAATTGATAAAAAATTATACAACCATTATTATACTCACAAAGAATTTCAAGCACATTATAATTGCTTCAGATAATACAGGAAGATCTTCTCAAAGAAGAGGGACTCTAAAGCTCCGATATTTAACAACACACTTGATGCTATTTGTAATGTTGACTGGCAAATGTAAGTTAATCCAATTATATTTTTCGAGAAAAAATTTATTTGTTTTATATTAGTTCCATCTGGTTTTGTTATATTTATAATCATTTGTAATTTCAATTCTTCCTTCGCTGTATCTAAATTTGTACATAATTATTGATTAACATTGTGACACTAATCTCGAAGTCCCGATTGAAAGCAGTAAGCACCGACATAACACAAATCTCAACCCAATTATTGATAAAGTTTTATCAGCAAAACGTGTGGATGGTTTAGCTCGACTATGGATAAGCCGTGAGGAAATATTTATATACGAACAAGTCGGTCTCCCCGATTACAATGATCTTACAGAACTTTATCTTCATGACTATAAGCTTATTAGAACTATGCAGGATATCCTAAATCAA